TTTAAACTGGTCGTATATACAAACAGTTTCACTAAATCGATATAAAACTTACTGCTCCATGGTTTTGGTTGCAACGTTTGGCAATGATAAATAAAGGTGACCAAGGTTATTTTTAATCCCTTTTTGAAATCTGACTCCTTTAAATTGATGCAATACCTCACATACAATACGCAGTTAAAACGAGAGACCGAAAATAGGATGTCGGAGGCAATAAGATGAACGCTTATCTACAACGCTTTAGTCACGGTGATTTGAAGTATATTGCTGGAAAATGAAACGTATAGGAACTTTAAGAATTTAAACAGCGTGCAGTACACTCTATGATAAACTACGCAATAAACGGTGTTCAAGTTTTCTTTACAATCACTCCTGATAATAGTAAATGCATACAACTGCAAATTCAGACATTAATGCGCAGAATATGTAGTACGTGAAACCGAAAAGTCACGTACAAAGATTACATACAGTTTAAAAGTCAGGGTGACCACTCGATTTGATGCAAAAAGAAAGTGACTGAGAAAATTCTCGTGTATACAGTGGCTTCTACATATAAACTACAAGATTCTGGAAGGTAAAACATGATACCTCCTGATTTAGCGCAGTCTAATTTTTCACTTCTTAAGTCATCATTCATTTTCTACCTAACCAGAAACTTTATATTAATATATATTACACTGGTTTTTTATGTTATGCAATATATTTTCCGTCAGCACCAGTTGCCTAGAATTCTGTATAGGTTGAAGTCAGACCCATGGGTTGTTTCCTTAGAATTTAAAGCACATAAGATAAACATTTATACAGATAGTGAATAGTAAAATCAAATGTTCTGAATATGCTATACTGTGTGTTAGAAACCATGCTGATTGCAGTGAGCTATTCTGAACCTCTTCTAATGAAGTCAGATTCGAACGAGCACATAAATGAGGAAGCAGCCTATTGTTTAATTGAAAACCCCTAGTAGGGCTGACACATATCAGATTTGATGAAAGCGTTAACTCAAGTCAGCCGTATTGATTAGATTCCTCGATATCTTACAAATTTTAAGCTGATTTGTATGTTTCCCTTTCGTAGAGTATTAAGTTCCTCCAAAACACGTATAACATAACTCTGATTGTTGTTTATTTCCTAAATTCCAAAAAAGTTTAGGTCTTTTTCAGCAAAAAGATGAGGAACCTTCCACTGAAATCCAGTGGTAGTGAAAATGTCTACAGCACATATTTCCAAGTTTTAAAGGATACAATTTAATCCGGTTGTTTAAAGTCAACCATTGAAGTGATCGAGGGGATTAAAATGTAAATAATAAAACCAAATCCGTGGTAAAATTCAAACTGTATACGAACAATGACTGTTTCTTTACATTACATACAATTGACAGAATGGCTTCTATCAACCACGAACAAATAACGTATACTTCTTACATACACATTAAAAAGTCAGGAAAATGGTTAAGTGGTCTGTTTTGACTGATTTGATGAAACACTCGTCTTACAATAGGATTATGCTGACCATCAAGGATCATAGATTGAAAATCGAAGCTTAAAAACTTCTATGTCAATAAATTAAAACAGTTTCCGTCTTACTGACTTCCTACTAAGCACTCAGTTGAATAAACGTGGTTGCCAGCTTTACCAGTATTAGTTCAGAATTCCATAAAATATCTGGTTTGGTAAATAAGTGGGTTTTTGACAAAATAATCCTCTCCTTAACTTTACCCATAAAATCTGCCAATTGAAATAGAAATGTAACTAAAAATCATTCTAGTTTAAACCATTCTTATAAGATTTCTTAGGTAATCATCTAATCACTTTTAATTCTTCTGTAGGAATTTCAAAAAATATTGAATCTTTTGATCTCGTCTTTGTTCTCAGACTAAGAAAAGGTGTTTAGATCATGAATGCAGATAACCTAGTGTTTTAAAGCATATATGACTGTCTCTGAAACACATTCTTTACATGGTGAAACCTTGCAGATGAGCAATTTGGGTGCATTAGGACTAGTATGCAAGTTTTATCAGTCGTAAAGATATTGAACACTCACTGACTAAAATACTTTAGACAAGCATTACATTTGCTGGGCTGCAGTAAACTTTGACATATTACGTCAGATGAAGTACTACTAGGTTGTAGGTAGGTTACGATTGGTTTGACAAAGGTTAAATATCAAGCCATGAACTCACTTAATGTTATTTTGAGGCAGGAAGAGAAGCTTTACCTGACTGCTGTCTCTGAGGTGTTTGAAATCAATGACCAGAGACAGTTGATGGTATCTTTGTTACTCGGTTTAATATCCTTCCATTTCTGTTGTTCTCCAGTTTCCTTGTTACCTAGAATTTCAAAAAGTTGAACTGTTGCAAATCCGTATGAAGTTCAAGATTGTTGTCTCTGAACTCCTGCACTTGATATCCGTTTTAGTGAATCAATTTGAATTGGATTTCTGACTGAGAGAAATTATATATTGATGGTGATTACGTTTGTCAATGACTAGACTAATGAAGATGCTTACCAAACCAAGATAAATAATATCTCGATAACAAGAGGTTATTACTTATAGTGTAGCAGTAGACTGACATTTCAAGCTTGAATGTGTTTCACATTACCTAATGCTTCTTTACACATACATATTGTCCTAGGTGAATACGAATAGCATATACCCATATACATGAACCTGGTTGCGAGAGATAATAAAAGGTCCTATGGCATGTGAAATGAAGGATAGTTTCGTTGGATCTTCACATATGGATGCATCTCGATTTCGTGAAGGTGGTCGTAGAAATGACTTAGTGACCTGAAAAACTTATGCAGCTTTTTTCCCAGCTAGATTTGAACAAAACTTGAACAACAAGGCATGCTGAATGAAATGAGCTAATACTATTTCAAGATTTCGAGCCGGTTGAAAACAATCTGAAGTTACGACAACTATTAGGATTAGTAAATGAGTGATGTAATTTTGTTTAACTGTCGAAATTAAGGCCAAAAGCTGCAATAACTGTAAGTAAGTGATGCAGAAGAACACACGGGGAAGATTCACTAGTAATATCCTAAGTGAATGCTTATTTATTTCAAAGTAGCATTCGTTATGGAATGACTCCAGTTGGGGAACCATTGAAAACCTAGGAGGACTGCAAAGGTTATTTATTATTAAAAAGAGGAACAATTATATGGTTATGGTGAGGAGGCGAGGGACACAGAATATTTAGGCCAGTTTGGGTGAAAAGGCATTTTAATTTAGCATTTAGTCATTTAGAACTCACCCTCTTCTAGTAACCATATCCCATTATAAACGTTCGAGGTTATCCACTACACCCAAAAATGTACTCAGTGATGAGAATTTTTTCCGCAAGTTTCTTTCTTTTGCTGAACGCAAAATTCTTATTCAGTTGAATGGAATTTTCTTGAAACGGCTCAAAATCAAAGCTGGTAGCAATTTTGTTGTAGTTTCCTTGATGGTTACACAAATAATGAAAACTGAATTTCTGTTTCTCAGTTAAATTCATGAAATGCGCCATCATATTTCTGTTCCTACTAGTCATCGCAAATCATATTACTGAAGGATAGATAATCACTGCTATGATAGATCATCTTAGCTTAACAAACGTACTAGTGAGCGTAATTGAGACAGTTATATAATGAAAGATGGAAAGTCGTGTTTTCTATATTAGATCAGTCTGCTTTATGTACCATACAGTAATACAGCATTATTTACTGTTTGACATTTCGAGCAGAGTTTATTACTGATAATCAAATAATATAATAGGCTAGAATATGGCTTCATTTGCACTAAGAACAATTTAGTTGTAATATACCCAACTGTAGGTTGGTTAAATTCCAGCTCGAATATCTGAAAGTACGTGAGTTTCTATTATACATAACTGGCCGGGGAGCACTGAAAAGCATAAAGTTTTCATCCAAAGCTTCTTACTCATTGATTTTGTCAGACAGATAAATAAATAAGTAGCCAACTTTGTATGAAATGTATTACTACAAGTTGCCACACTTCATTGGAACATTACAAAAACAAGAAGTAGACTCATAGTTAAATAAATAAAGATGATATAAGAAGTCACAAGCTAAGCAAATGAACATCGATAAGACATCAAAGTCTTCGAGGATGGTAAATCATGAATAGATCTTTGCCACTATATTAGATTCTGATGTGTCAATAAGTCTTCAACTAGCATTTTGAACGCCAAGACTAAGTAACCTACACTTCCCTACTCGGTTGAGACCAGGAGTTATGAATTTCATGAACCAACGTTTAGTTTTGATCACCATTAGCTTTCTTGAAACGTAGTCTTACTTTAGCTAACATTTCACGTAGGTGTAGTTGGTGGCTAGGCATTCACGACGCATTTCTAAGTCATCTCAGTCGCTAAAGTTATATAGCACTCCTTGTCTAGTACCCTTCACCTAACCTAATTAGTGCTCATACCATGATTTCATCATTCGTAAGCGCTGCTTCGATGATACTTTTACTTGACTGGTTTTAAAACTTGAATAGAAAGTATTTGTCTTATATGAATACTTTTTTTATTTTGTATGCCGCAGTTTTTCCATTAAATAATAGTGAAACTGAGGTATTTCCCTAATTTGACTACATTCTCGGATAAGGAAGAAAGCGGAGTGGAGGTCAAACTAAAAAATATCAGTAGTCCATAAAGTCTCTAACTGTTGGTTTGAGCTGTTTAGGTAGGTGTAGGCTGACTGGCTCTGAATCCCCGAATGTTCGGTATCAGTGGTTAGAAGCTCTTAGGGACATAAATGAAGACTGGTCACAACGGTGTAGATTTATTCAACTTTTATCATCTTCTGAACATTTGAACACTTTATAGACATTCATTTATTTAAAACCTCACCTCTTATACATTTCTAGTTTACTGTTATATTATTCTGTTTTCCTTCACCCCCTCTTTATGTTTACTGTTGTTCTAAGTTGGCTCTTATCTGTCGACAATAGAAAATAACCAGTAAGATTTATCCTTTTTCAGATTTTCACTTTCTTCAATGTCAGGAGTGCATAAAAAAGGTCAACCTATACGTAAAAGTGCTCTTGTATTAGGCAGAAGAGTATCAAGTTCTTTTCAAAGAAATCAGATCCAGAAAAACGATCATCAAGACCAACAATTCGATTGATTGATGAAACTGGTGTGGATTTAACCCCTCTACCATTATTGAATGAAGAGAAAAGAATTCGTGAAGAGAAGGATATTGTGGTGAGTTTCCTTCGAAAAAAAGATAACTGTCATGTTTTCCTGAAATTAAAGAGTACAGAAATTTCACAAGCATCAAATTATAGTGGAAGCAGTTTGCATATTACAAATCCATTCACTTTTACACGATCATATGTCAGTGGGTCAAGTCCAACTGGTGAATCACATTCTGAGGGTAGTGAAGAAGCTGATCGTTATCGAGCATATACAGGTAACTTAACTGTTCATTAAAAATGTTTAATATCTAAATGTTGACTGATAAGAAAGAATCAGTAGGGATGGTGTGAAGAAATCTTTTATACTCTGCTCATACTTTTAGACTTGCAGTTCATTAGTCCAACCATTAGGTCGCAGATTCAAGTGCTGCTCAAACTACCCAAGTTTCGGCAGCTAGGCATGACCAGTAACCCTGTCATACTGGATGTGACTTATCGCCTACTATCTAAACTTGCGCATGATTTCTGAGGTAGTTCATTTCAGTCCCAGACTATTATTATTATTATTAGTCCCTTGGGTTCCGAGTGGAACATAGGGCTTCAGTAGCACGCCTCCAGTGACCTCTGTTCTCTGAGATCTTTTGAACCTGGTTCCACGACAGCCCAGAAGCTCTCATTTCCTCCTCGCATGACCTCCTCCATGTCACCCTCGGACGTCCAACTCGTCGCTTCCCATGGGGATTCCACTCGAGGGCCTGACGCGTGATGTCCTCAGTCGGCCTTCTCAGTGCATGCCCAATCCATCTCCACTTCTTCCTGCATATTTGTTGCGTGATAGGTTCTTGGTTGGTTCGTTCCCAGAGTTCCTTGTTGCTTATTTTTTCTGGCCATCTGATCTTCAGCAGCGAGCGTAAGCAGTTGTTGATGAATGTCTGTAGTTTATTGGAAATGCCTTTCGTGACGCGCCAAGTCTCTGAGCCATACAAGAGCACTGACTTGACGTTGGTGTTGAAAATCCGTATCTTGTTCCGCATGCTGAGTGCAGAAGATCTCCACACTGGTTTCAGGCTAATGAACGCCTGTCTTGCTTTTCCGATTCTGACTTTGACGTCCTCGTCCGTCCCGCCTGTAGTTGAAACAGTGCTTCCTAGATAAGTGAAGGAGGTTACTTCCTTCAAGTTTCTCCCGTTGACGGTGATTGGAGTTTGTTGTTGTTGTTGATGGTGGTGGTGCGGTATCTTCATCACTTCTGTCTTCTCTATATTCACCTGAAGTCCCGTCTTAGCTGCCTCTTCTGTCAACTTGTTAGTTTTTGCCTGCAGATCTTCAAGTTTATGTGACATTAGGCATAAGTCATCGGCGAAATCCAAGTCTTCTAGGTTCTTTTCCGTCGTCCAGTGTATCCCCCTCTTCTCGCTGCCTACTGTTTGCTGCATGATCCAGTCCACCACAATAAGGAATATCATGGGGGATAGTAGGCAACCTTGTTTCACTCCTGTCTTCACTTCAAAGGCATCACTGAGCTTCCCATTGTGGATTACTTGGCATGTGGCATCTTCATATAGTTGTTGAATGAGGCGGATAAAGGTTTGCGGTACTCCGTAGTATTGAAGCAGTTTCCAAATTACTTCTCGGTCGACGCTGTCAAAGGCCTTCTCAAAGTCGATGAAGTTGAGGTATAGAGCTGATTGCCATTCTACGCTCTGTTCTATGATGATACGAAGCGTTGCAATTTGGTCAGCACATGATTTGTACTTCCTGAAGCCTGCCTGTTCCGGTCGCAGTTTTGAATCCAGTGCGTCTTTAAGCCTCTCCAGGATGATGCGGCTTAATATTTTACTTGGGGTGGACAGGAGAGTGATTCCGCGCCAGTTCTTGCAAGCACTGAGGTCTCCCTTCTTCGGCAGTTTGACAAGGTAACCCTTCTTCCAATCGTCAGGTACCTTCTCTTCCTTCCACACCTTCTGCAATAGTGGTGTGAGCATGTCCGCTGTTGTCTCTGCATCTGTTCTCAGTGCTTCTGGCGGTATTCCATCTGGTCCTGCTGCTTTCCCGCATTTCAGTAGCTTTATGGCGTTCAGGACTTCCATTTTCGTTGGGGGATTTATGTTCACTTGTAATTCAGCGGCTGCAGGTGGTATTTCTGGACGAAGTGCAGGTGGTGGTCGATTCAAGAGCTTCTTGAAGTGGTCGGCCCATCGTTTCCTCTGTTTCTCTTCTTTTGTAATTAAATTTCCTTCTTCATCTTTTATTGGTTTCATCTGTGTTGGTCTCTTCCCTGATAGCAACCTGGTTATTTGATACAATGTCGTCAGGTCTCTCTTACCTGCAGCCTGTTCTGCTTCACTTGCCAGTGTGTCGTAGAAGTGTCTTTTGTCTTTGCGTGCACTCTTCTTCACTTCTTTGTCCAGTGTTTTATACATTGTGCTCAGTTCCTCTTGTCGTTGAGCATCCTTGCACTGGTTTATCTTCTGCTTCACCATCCTCCTCTCCTCTATCAGCTTCCAGGTATCCGTCGAGATCCATTCCTTGTCTTCTTTCTTCTTCCTTCCTAATACTGTTGTGCAGGTTTCTTTCCACATAGCTTTCAAAGACTTCCAGTGTTCTTCTACACAGGTTTCTTCAGGGATGTCCCTCGACGTCTCCCATTTTGTCTTGATGGCTGCTTTGAAGATCTCCTTTGTAGTTTCATCCTTCAGTTTCCGAGTGTTGTACTTGAATTGAGGTCTATCACCAGCTTCCTTGAAGGCTTTTAACTTGATTTGGAAGGTTCCTTGCACTAGATAGTGGTCTGAACCTACATCTGCTCCTCTTCTTGACCTTGTGTTAAGTAGACTGCGTCTCCATTTTCTTGAGATTGAGATAAAGTCGATTTGATTTTTAGTGTGTCCATCTGGTGAAATCCATGTCGCTTTGTGGATATCCTTGTGCCTGAACACACTGCCTCCAATCACCAAATCGTTGAATGCACAGAATTCTGCAAACAATTCTCCATTCTCATTCATTTCACCTAGCGCCTCTCGACCCATGGTTAGTTCTCTTCCCGTGTTGTCCCCTCCCAGTTTGGCATTCATGTCGCCCATTAGAATTTTGATATCGCCAACTGACGTCTTGTCCAGTGTTGACTGAAGTTGTCTGTAGAATTCCTCCTTTTTCTCTTGCTCTGCATTATTTGTAGGTGCATAACATTGTATGATTGTGACCTTTCTTCCTTTTGAGTTGAATCTTGCTGTCATGATCCTGGAGGAGATTGGTTCCCACTGCATGAGAGCCTTCGATGCTCTTGAGGACATCATGATAGCCACTCCCTCAGTGTGCTCGTGGTTGGCGTCTGGGTGACCGGAGTAGATTATTGATTCTCCAGTTGACAGTTTGGAGAGTCCACTCCCATTCCATCTGCTTTCGCAAATCCCAAGCACTTCGATGTTATACCTTCTCATCTCCTTTGCAATCTGGGCTGCCTTACTGGGTTCAAACATCGTGCGGACATTCCATGTCCCCACGTTTACTTTCGCTTTCATCGAGAGAAGACACATCGGCCAATTGGCTTCCCGAAGGCTTTCACCAACTGGCGTCATTTCGCCTCTCCGATTCCAGCGGGGAATAAGTTTGTTTTCATTTTTTATATTTTGTTTGTGCTTTGAAGTTTCTTTAGCGGTTAGATTTGTTTTACGGGGTAGGGTTGCTAGCCCTATGCCCAACCTTCCCTCTTTACCCGGGCTTAGGACCGGCTAGTAACTAGTAAACTAGTTAACCAGGCGACTAAGTGATGGGCAAATGCCCTTATATAATAGCACAAACAAACACTTGATATTGTTACTAGTTAAAAATTCCATATATTTGCTTTTCACAAAATGAAACTGTGGTCTGATGTTCTGCATATTAAACTTTTATGTATTGAATTATATACTTCTGTACCACACCAGTGAATTCTCAGTTTAACGAACTTGTGCACCTAAAGTTTGTTGACTTAAATTGTGCCCAGTCTTTTGCTTGTATTCAACTTTTTATTGGTGTAAATTTATTATTTTTTTTAAAAACTTTGCTTAATTAGAGGTCAAAACACTCATTCAATCACAGCAGGAAATTCTAACCGAAGCTGATTTAAACAAATTGGTTGATGTTGTGATTATCGAAACTGAGACGTTTTGGATATTTGATCAACCACCGACGTATGTCTCACAAGAATCAAGTGAAGCAAAGGATCAAATAAGGCGAAATGAAGCTTATAAAGCAGTTGAGTAAATTAATTTCTTGGTAGTTTAAACCATGTTATGCATATCAGTAGTATTTGCCATCTGAATTTTTGAAAGGTTATGCTTTCAAATATTAGATAAAAGAAATTGTCAAGGAAATGATTATTACTGAAGGTTTGCTCAGAGCTTTGAGCTAATAAAGCAAGTCGACCTATGAAGTTGTGGTCGTGCAGCGACTGAAGTGGTTGAGACCTATGTTATTCATATCAAACAACGATATACTTCAAAGTATAATGTAACTAGAACTGAATTAGATCAGGATAAAAATGGTGGGAATCAGATCAGGATATGGCATCAGTTCTTAAAATCTCTGACTATTGATCTAAGGCATTCAGGGAGTTATACGCTACCTGTATGAAATGACATGAAAAAATGGTTGGAGATTCTTGACGACATCCCTCGAAATTATTCGCAGTAGTTCAGATGTATTCATCCTTTACTATGTTCGAAATTTTGATCATTTCTGAAAACCTTTATTTATTCATGTCCTGTCGTCTGGCACATCTTTGTCTGAGCTGACTTTGTTCTTTCTGCTTTTAGTTCCCTTCTATGCTCTGTCGTGGTGATGTGTTACAACCTGAAGTAGTGATACATTTTGCTTCAAGTCAGTCTGTCTTTTGTGAACTTAGAAAGACTAATGTTTTCAGAACACAAGTTAGCATGCCAAGTCTTCCTCCCTAACAGGTCAATTTCAGAAGAGCAAGATTAGGTCAAAAAAAATACGACGACAAGACTTTAGTGTTGGAATTTTTGTCTGTTAGCTTGGCATATGGTAGGATTTGTAGGTCGGCTGGATTGTAACTTAATTAAGTCAACCACATTACTGAATAAGCGAATTGACTAGGACTGTAAACAAAGAACCTAGTTCTCCCTTAGTGCCTCGTTCCTCACTAAGATGCGAAACTATCAGAGGGTGAAGGTTAGACTGCCACTGCGTGAACGATTTGTATTAGACGAAAATGTATCAAAAAGTATATCTGTTCATATGTACGTGAATATGAGGTTATACTATGGGAAAGGTAGAGTAAATCATCGCGATTGGTCCAGTAAAACACCGAAATTCCCTATGGGGTTAACTTGACCACATACTAGCACAGATCAAAATTTTGGCTCAAAGGTTCAACCCAAGTAGACTAGACATTCATCCAAAATAGTCATTACTGTTTTGAATACTTCCCATTAGTGGTGAGGTTCCAGGAGGCATACTGTTTAGACTGTTAGTCCCCTACACACTTAGTTGCTTACATTGATTAGTCACTGAAAAGTAGCAAGCTTCATAACATCTAGTCCTAAGTGGTGGTTGAATTCTATCGATCATTTTGTAGTGTGGTCACAAAGCTGGGGGAGACTCAGTTTCATGATTAACTTTGATTGATGTAAGATTGTTGAAGGCAATCGGAAGGAAGTTCTGGATCTACATTTCATGCTTTTCAGCACTAATCCGTAGGGTCCATAACTCTTTGGCGACATCCTCCAACAACCTTACGTAAGTCAGAGACCACAGTGACTCTGAGTCTCCTAGCTCGGTGGTCAAACCGCAAAATAATCGATAGAATTCGGTTAGCACTCAAGACCAGACAACATGAGACTGGTTACTACCCTCTGACTTGTTAATTTATGCAGTTCAGCCCTGAAAGAGGTCGCTCAGGTTGCGAATAGCTCAGTGTCAGCGTGTCTGAGTGTAGCACTTAGTGACGTGCGTTGGAATCTAAGGGAGAACATCAGTTCCCTCAAGGTTGCAGATGCGCCTTGGTTATGAATGCCTTCTACCGATTTCCTTTAACCACGTAGCACACTCATCTGCTTTCCGGCCACAATTAGAGATCATATTAACAGTTGAATTGCGACTGACAATCTTCATTAAACTCAAGTCCTGGTCACATAACGCGATGACTGTGTTATTTTGACCTGGTCTTGCCATATTACTTCCTCACGCTGTTATAAGGAAATACTAAACTTAGGAAGGTTAAGATTTACAAGGTGGAAAGTAAGTAAAATGTGTCACAGTGAAAACATACAGTATTATGATTCTTGCTCCACTCAATTCCTAGGTGCCCGCAAATGTTTTCTCTTAACCTCAGGTAGTCATTAAAAGGAAATTGGTCATTATGTAATTATTAAATAGTTAGTTTAATTGCGTTGATGCTAATATTAAAGTGACTTTATTAATCTACAAACGTTATCTCCATCTCATGAAGGAAGTACCCTTGGGATCTGTGCTTCTTGTATTAGCGATCTACAAAGCGGACAACCCAATCCTGAAGCTAGTTAAATAATTTAGGCAGAAGGGTTCAAAATTGACATCGATGACCTGAATGCCTGGTCGCCTTGTTTACATCCGTAAGTGGAGCTGTGGCCCATTGACTTAGGGAGGTGATTATCAACCAGTTTGTCACGGGTCCGAACCCCATTCCACCTACCAAGGTTTGGATAGCCAGGTAGTATTACTAGCCCTCACACAATAGATCTGGCTCATTGCCTACTGCATGGATGTGCACAAGCTGTCTGAGTACATTTCGTTCCATTTCGTTACATGTATATCCTAAAATGCTATGACATATCTCAATTCCTTTTTGTAGCTTCTTGGACAGTTCTTGACATATATAGATTCTTAAAAAATTGCAGTGCTACAAGAAAGGGATAAACTATAAAGAGACAAAAATAAGGCCACGCTCCATAATTTAAAACAAAAAGGTTAATACTGATTTAGTCTCATAACAGAGTGGAATGTGTCAATTCAAATGATAATTGGCCAAAAGTGTAGTAGATATAGAGATCAACACAGAACTTGACAACAAAGTACATCATTTCAAGTAGCTGCAGCTCACATCAGCATACAAGCAACAACTAGATAGAAAATGAATGTTCCTAAGGCAGACAGAGGTGTCTGAGAGTTGAACGAACAAGTAGATAAGGGTTGATGAAAATAATTGTACATAACTTCCTCTTCGTCATTGTTACTAATAACTAATGAAGATAGACATTTTCTTATCAGAAAAGTATTCTCATTTCCAAGTTTCATTTAGCAACGTCTTAGGTTTAGTCTTCGGTCTTTAGCAGAAAAATTTAGATTTTTCCCTAAACTGTCTTCAGGTTATGGGTCTTCAGAACTTTTGTTGTGTACAGTCAAGCACCTATCAAATTCCTCCCCAAGTCGCTTGCTTCTTTCAGTGGAAGCTTCCTCATCTAGGAAGAAGAACAGTATTGTTGCCCAGGGGAGTTTAGTTCTTTCCAATTTTAAAATCATCGGCTGAATTAGTGTTTTTTTTCACCTGCCATTTCCTCAAAAATAAACAAATCAGTCTCTTTTTACTACTCCAGAGAATCCCTCCCATATTATAGACGTAGAAACAATCCCACCACATCCATTCTTCTATCTGTTGGCTAAATATAATCTACACACTAGAATGTGAAATGTTGACGGAGATGGTGTTCTCTGCTATCAATTTGCTTGCTATAAATGAGTTTCCTTAACTTCCAAAACCTGTCGTACATATATGATACTATGAAGGAATTTTCTCCAGCTCTCAGTGTCTTACAGCGAAATAGTGTTGTGGAAACTTCGTTTCATAAGGAGGCTGATTTTATGTGAAAGTGAGCTTTCAAATTTTACTAATCTTACCCCATCTTTCTGTTATGAAACATTATAGTGCTTAGAAAATTTTAAAACTTCCACTTGTGCAATGTCTTTGTTGTCATTTACTAGTTAGTTGCATCCAAAATCGGTAATGATCGATATACCGAGCTTGGAATGAACACTTTTAATCCACCGTCAATCTCTAAGCTGGTGCAAACTGAACGTATTGGGATACAGGAGAAATCGACTATGGCGACTAACTGGGATATGGCAGATACTTATGAAGAAGAGAAGAAAAAACTACTTGAAGGTGAAAACTAATCACAATTTCGTTTGTTGTCTTCTGATAATCTGTACTTTTTCTACTTACTACTCTACTTTCATCATGTGTCTCCATTTGTGTTATCCATCCGTCCGTGCGTTTCTGATTACATTGAAATAGGGATGGAAAAAAGACTACGGAGAGATCACAATATGAATTGGTTGCAGATGATACGGTTTTTCTGGACCGTCTTTATTTGCATATATATTCAACATTTTATGTATAGTTTTTCAAAGTTGGTAGGCCATAGTTGAACACATTTGTGTAGCCTTTACTCCTACCTGACATATCTTTGTTCAACAGTCACCTGTCATGCCTTGTTTGGTGTGTATGGTTCAAATGTGGGCTGTTGAAGGCAGGTTGAAAGAGGTCACATGAAGAAGCTGTAGCTACTCAAACTCTCGTAGCGTTATTCCTTCTTCTGATAAACATTTCTACGATAGAACTTTCAAATATGAAGACAATAAAAATATTATGGGGGTTTACTCACTTATACTGGGAAAACATCACCTTTGAACTGGCATAGTTTGTTGGGTAAAAAGTGGAGTTTTCAATATGGAGGAGAAGCTAGTTGGTGAAGTTATCATAAACGTCAAAAAAGTAAATCACCATCTCTTGTTTTTTATGCATGTAATTTTCTGTTGCTATACAGGGTCAAATTGCCCGACCGCTGTTTACAGACGAGCTTCTATTTGAAGGCCTCGATACTACTAGGTACTCTTGATGTTGTATTCATCTTGATGACTCACAGTGGAATCAAGGACGCACGTTTCGTCCTATTTGAGGCTCTTCAGTTGCAGACACCTGGACCCCAGTGAGTGATGTTGTTCCTAATGAAACTTAAACCCAGTACTTATCAGTTTGGCGTTTGAAGCGTAAAGAAAAGTGCTGCTGCACTATAGATTTGAAATAACGTTACTAAATGTCGTAGTTCGAGACGTTGTCTTCGATATAAATCCCTTTCTGTGAATAATCTCTAGTAAGAGAGTTAGTATTAACGTGGGAGCCAGCGTTGCTGTGTAACATTCCAAATCGCCATATATCGCGTCAGCATATTCAAATAAAAGGCAACAAGGTGAAAGACGAAGAAACTGTAAGACTGGATTAAGAGTGCGAATTGCTCAGTGGTTAGAGAGAAATGTTGCATAGTATAAAGCCGGCAAGTTTTCGTCTGAATTAGATTATTTTCGTATGAATCATAAATGACTAGTTCGTTGGATAGTCTTGGTGAAAAAACTGTAGGCTAGTTCAGTGTTTGGCTACTTTAGTCGATCAGACAACTGGAATGTCAACAGATTTCCGTTAGTTGAAGAATTAATTAAAGAATGCTGGAGTTATATATATAGTTCTCACTAAGAAGACAAATCAGTCAGTGAGGTGGTGCATGAAGTGACCTGCACGTATATGTTGCTTAATAAATAAGCCACTCGTATCTCCAGAGTGCAACGCTGGAGAATTATTTAGAAGAAATTTATAGGCTACCGGATGAAGATGTCGTGTTAGCTGTTGAAACCGTCTGATGAAAAGGCTCAAAGTTTGCGATAATAACTGAGGTTTTATTCTCTATCTACTCTCATCAAAATATTGAACAGCTTTTTTATTATTGCTGCACAATAATCTGCCTGTAAAATATAATTTTATGAACTGTACAGATAATATAGAAATATGTTTCAAAATCTGCTACTTCTACATCCACCTAGGTGAACATGAAATGAACTCACATCACGTAAACGTAAAAGCTGGTGCACATAAGACTAAGCTTGACGAAAATAACACAGCTCATCAAATTATAAAAAGAGAACAACTACAAGCTGATGATGGTGGACCACTGGAAGATATTTATGCAACCGGTGGAGATACAGCTGTCAGTAATCCCGAAACTAGTCTGGAGGTTGAATCATCTCAGTTGGGTCAATCAGCAACAACAACAACAACAAGTAAGCTTGCTGTTTGATAATAACATTCATTCATTTTGGACACACGTTCAGCATGGCATTTAGCGGTAGCCATAGTAAACAGGTAACTGATATACTTTCAAAATGTGGACAGTTCCTACGCAGTGCACCAGTTAAATGGTAAGATGTGTTTTGTGACACCCAAGGTTATTCGACTTCCTGGCGTAGTCTGCGATAGCTCGCAGACTCATGTCATTTCATGAAGAAAACTACTTAGATATTAGAACTATTGTATACCACGTACTTTTTCAAAAGGTAAAGAATATAACCCAAATAAGCACGTTTCTATAATCGTTTACCTCCGACGTTGACTACCGATGTCCCGATATTTTTTCATCTTTTGTAAATATTTTTCTGTAGAAAACACAATGGGTTCCAATTCCGAATCAGATATAATGGGTTTTCGTGACAGCAGTATTTCTCACCTAAGTCAAATGACAAACGTGTTAGGACTACTTGAGGTTAGTGATTTCTATACACGTTTATTTTAATGGTTATTGATTAAATGTAAGTTCAGATAGACTGAAATGAAATATTCTCATAGACTACAGAGTTGGGACTTAAGCGATTTCAAGGGACATTCATATAGTTTCCCATCAAAACAATCCCACTGTCCATTTCAGTGTGGGAAAAACTGACAGATCAACGTGAAGCATTGAACAGAACGAGGTGATGTGGCAGAAATAGAATGACATTAAAATAAGTTTAAGAAGTACGTGTAAACATGTGCAAAGTTTTGGAACATTACAGGGAATAAATACATTTATACCACTGTGACCGACATTTTGGTCATATCAGAGAGTCTGGAGACGCAGACTTCTAATATGTCATTTCTGTGTGGGCTGCTTACGAGGAAAGACGACCAAACCTTGAAAACACTTGTTTTTAGAAAATCTATATCGAATATTTTCTATTTTTTCCTTATTGACAAGAAACTCTTCTCTTTCAAAGTGTATCGGGAAAATCTATCAAGAAGAAAGTGTAGATGAGGGACTGAAACTCTTTCAGAGAGTAGCGGGGGAAAACTGACATGACCACTAAGACAAAAAACACTCCTGACGGCTCCTGTATAGCGCTGTAACAGTTGTTATGTGTTCAGTCCAGTGCCATGTCATGAGCATATTCTGAAGTTTGTTGAAGCCTTAGGTACAAGTAAGTTCAAATCCGCTTTGTGCAATCCAAAAAGTTTGTCTTCACTTTAAACATTCCTTAACACCAAAATAATTACTTTGACCTTATCGAAGCATCTGCGCAGGATGCCCGAAGCATCTGAGAGATAGGAGTTTTGATGAGTCAGCTGAAAGTCTGAATAATCTTTTTGGTGAACAGTCATCAGTATTCTTTATTCGTTATAACTGTCTGAAAATGGTGAAAGAAACTGAAGATTACCTAACCCATGGAAGTCCAATTAATTGACAATCAGAACATTTCAAAATATATTGGATATCTGATCATTTCATATGTTTATTGTTTGTTTCGTGTCTCCAGTAACCTGGAGATGTTGATATTTGGACAAGAATTTCATCACCAAATGAAAAAGAGCTGCAAATGCCCTTGAAGGCAATGACTTCAGAATACCAATGTCTTATCGATCTAAAGTGCAATACTGCAGTAGTGGAAAACAATCCAGCATCACCATTAACAAAGTCGTGAATTCTGTTCAGTCAACTAATAGATAAAAGAATTCAGTTAATAATTCTGCCAGAACGCCTTTCATTAAGCCTCTTACACCTTATTAGTGGTATGGCTTGTGGCAGTTTGCTAATTTTCGACCCTTGAAGAAACATGAATACAATATATCTCATAAAATTTGTCATAAAGAAGGACTCTACTGCAGAACAAATACAAAAGCTATATTCAAAGTATCTATGGAACGTATATCGTCAACCTTGTAAATAAATACCGATTCATAAATCCACTGATGAATGGTGTACAGATCCTGCTGTAGTTATGTAGGGCGTCAGATATCACTGTGTTGGTGAACTTCGATTTAGAGGCATGCTTAACATATCAGAGATTAGTTTAGTCCAGAGCATGAGGGAAAATCAAGTGGTTGAGAAAAGTTAGATTGTCTCCAAAGAAAGTCCTAGCAACAACTAAACTAACCGAATGAACTTCGTTATCTTATACAATTTAACTTTCCAACCGAACCAGTTAAACCTATTTAGTAATTCCATTCATTGCTGCCACGCAGAGAAATATAATAATGAGCTTATAACAGTTAGAAAGGATAAAACTATGGACATTTTCATCCAAAACATATTTACCATTCTATCATAAATAGTCAATGCTATCCAAGTTGTGTTCAAATAAGCAGTTACTATTTCAGTAACTCACTGACTGTTAACTTAATCTTTCTGATTATCTGATATGACACCATCTCATTTACCCGTAAAGCAGTTGTTCAAGTCATATCATTCGTTTATTCTATTTCATATTTTCCTTAGACTTGTCTTAAACTCTGCCTTTTCTGTTTTAGACACCAAAAATGAAGAAGGACCTAAATCACATGGAACGAGCATTGAATCTCAACACATATTACGATAAATTATTAAAATATCAAAGTTTAGTCTTAAGTAGATGTAAGTGAATGTTGAACATTGAATTAGTCACTACATTCAGTAGATTGATGAAGTTGTCGAGGTGTTTACTTTCTATAATACCAGGAATTTATGAGAATATAATTTTTTTCAAGAAATGTATAAACACGAACATTAAAAAAAATTAAAGGTTACGTCTACTCTTAAATTTATGGTTTGACCAACATTATGAACCAGGTATCAAAGATTGTTCGGATAAATTAGGCCATCTAAGCGTAACGACACCTTACATTAGCTAGAAATATGGAATGTTGAATTTTACACTGAACATAGAAAAGTTAGACTGAATAGTATTTTAGATACTGATTGGATTTGTTGTCACACTCCATAGATATTGATATTCCAGTTACCGTAAATTTACTCACTTAAGGAAATTGTGAATGTCTGCCGTCGTGGCATTGCTTTCTTATTTAAATGAATATGCACAGAAATTGAAATAAATCATAGCACTTTCCACATCTCAGGCATTTTCTGAAAACGTTTCTTCCATGATACAAATTTAAAATAGGCAGGGAATAAGAGTTATTCAAAAGTTGACGAATTCGTAGATGTGGACAATCAGTGGACATGAGTTAAATTATGTACAATGAGCAGATTTAGAAGTGACTCACATTGTACTGCTTCGTCCTTCAGTGGATGTACTGAATTTGCAAATAATGATTTCTAAACTCATTACCAACATAATACTTTTGATTCTTTAATGTTGTTCCCACAGATCTAACACAAGCCTGTTTAGATCAGGCCGATACAGACCCATCTAGTACTGTGGGACGAACTCCAGGAGTTAGTGTCCCCCCTACATTGGATGACAATTCAGCTGAACATGCCATATTTGTGTCAAAAGCTCCGGGTGCTTCTAATGTTCCTGCTGTAACCTCAGCAAGAAGTCTGGGTAGTGTCAACCCAACTATTGCCGGCTCTCAAGGTGCTTCCTCAGTGAGAACAAATGAAGTTGCTAAAATGGAAGACGCTAATCTAGAAAATCCTCATACTGTCCCACTTTGGCGTTTCCATTGCCCATTGACAAAGGTAAGATGTAAACAGGAGATGAAGCATCGAGAAATTGCATACTGAATCAGTCATTTCATTAGGTGGAAACCAATAATTGTGCACCAGTTAGATAGCAACTTGGGAACTTGGACTAGAGTGTACTGATTTAAGCTGCCAAACTTAGCATATATATATATATATATATATATATATATATATATATATATATATATATACTATCTGCGTGAAAACCATTTTCTCAGATTCTGCTGTAACACAACGTTCTTTGAATGCAGCTACCATTTCCATGCACATAAATGCTAATTTCTCAGTAAGCTTGTCCCAAATAACCTTAGTGTAAGTTTAAATTAATCTGAATAGAAATGAGATCTGGCTATACACCTACTGTTGGGAAACGCTCATAGCTGCGTTTCTTCACTCTCCTTGATAGTTCAAAAAAATACTCAGCAGTTGATGTGCTGATATAATGTGTAGCAGCTTGAACCATTACACAATATTGCCTGGCCCTATGTTACATATTGACTGACTGAATGCATGACTGAAAGTCGAGTTTCATAGTTCAGTTAGTAAAGCATATGAGTAGTGACTTGAAGACCAGATGTTGTGGACCTTACGTTCACAGTTGTTCCACTATGTATGAGCGATACTAAGAAGTCAATGATGTTTTTTGATGCGCAGTACTGTAGGTTATTGATAAAACTTTGAATATCTCCCTAGACTGGTTGGAAGTTCAAGAGTGTGATTGATAGTAGTTTTATACATGGTTCGGTAGTATTTACTCTTTACCTTGTTCTAATTGGCCAATATGTTGTTGTGTAACAATCATTTGCCCTTTCTTCAGATACGTCTACCTGTACAGTCAAGAAACTTGTCAGTCTGAGCTAAACTGCTACGCTTACAAGATGTATCTTGGTTTATGTAACTAATTGGTTGTAGGTTGGAAAATGTTATCATACACCAACACTAATAACTATGTAAATAGTTTAAAAAAAGTTATTTTTAGTATAACTTAGTGACAGGTTGCGAAACAGCCCATAGGTTATTTTACTCACTTTTTACCTCTAAATGGTCAGACATTTGACAGTAAGTGGTTGGGTTTGGTTTTAAGAAATCTATAGATTTACTAAATTTACTCAGTGATGGGGTTACTTCTGTAGCTGTTATCTTGGTATCAAACTTGCTTATTATAACGGTCCATCCAAGCACTTATCGGCTGCAGCATTCATTCCTCAATGTTAAGTACTATCAAGTGGTTCAGCTGGGGATAGATGCTACTAAAGTAGTAAACTCATCATAGATGTAACTGCACTAAGGTTGCCCTGAGGATAACAAAGGACGTCAAATGTTGCTCCTCACTCGATCGTATGTGACTAAATTTAAGTAGCTATCAAATGAACAACAAAGTTACGCTCCACTATCAACATACCCATTCATAGTAATTCATTTTCTAGTTGAAATTCCTGAAAAAGAAGCAAACCTTAGTGGTTTGAGCAGCTAGGAATGCCAAACGCCCACTTATCTATATTAGCCCTGACATCCCATTATGAAAATAATTGAGATGAGTTGTAATCTCTAAAAAAGCATCTATTTCAATATTCTAAGACCTCCTGAAGTTCACCATCGACCAACCTTTCATAAATTACAGTGTAGTGATCATTGTCCAATAACTGATAACTGGTAATATATCGGTCTACTTTTCCCCTTTTTGTAAAACAGGGTCATAATGTATCAGATATGGCATGGAATAAACAAAATCCGAATATTGTTGCTGTTGGCTATGGACAATTTGAATATGATAATCAACGTAAAGGATTAGTATGTTGTTGGTCATTGAAATTTATTGAGTACCCTGAAAGGTATTATGAAACACCAAGTAGCGTAACTGCCGTTGGCTGGTCGAAAATCCATGCCAATTTGTTAGCTGTAAGTATTTTTATTCTTTTACATTTGATTAATTATGGCAGAAAGTTTATGTGAATAGTATAAGTCAAGCTAACCAATATAGATTGATAGAAAGTCAGTTATCAACGTAGAACTTGGCACAAAGTGCACCAGTTTAAGTTGCCAACTACGCCGTAGCATAGAAAGAAAACGATGGATATAGTGAAAAAGATGTGTAGCTCAAGATGAGGATGACAGTTGTTCAGTGTTCTCGAAGGTTTGATATTTTATCTAGGTTTATCAGATGAAAATTTTTATCCTGTAACCCCTCTCACATTTTCAAATTCCCAAATGAATTATATTAATGGAATCTGTGCTTTGTTATGCAAAAACCCTAGCCTGGAATAGTTATACTCAAGATTTACTGGACTAATGGAAATATAAGCGCACTGAAAGAAGAAATCTTGGATAGTCAGCCAACAATATATCACTGACGTGTGAAGTTCGAGTGGTACACTGGATCTCCTAAAATTTTGAGTTGGTATCTAGAAGACAGCTATGAATAACTTATAACTATAAACATTTTTTGCAATTTGAAAAAAAAAAAACTGATCACGCCAGTTTAGGCACATATTCACTTTAAATAAACCTATTATGTAGCGCATTCCTAAACCCTATCTTCATTACTTTCAAGTGTCATTTCATCGTGAATTCTACGCCATTCATGCTGATTTCAGTCTAACACACTTGATTCCATTGAAAAAGTTGAATGGACTAGTAGCAGAAAAATATTCAGTATAGAATGAGTTTATTCCATTTCACAGTTTCTCATCTCCAGTTACAAACTACGTGAATCAAAATGATCACGAAAATAAAATAATATAGTATACCCCAACTACAGAAGATTGAACCATTAACCTGAAGATATTGTGAATTAGTGTTACAGTGTATGGAGTAGAAAGTGGAAATAATACATTATGATTTAAAAGTACTACCAGTTAGCATGTCGTAAGAAGGAAATTTATGCAGTTGTAAAGGCCGAGGAAATAGATGCAATAGAATGATTAATTGACGGTAATTGAATTGTTATGTAATGCATGAAAAAAATCCGTAACCAGAAGGTTGAAGTTAAGTGAGTAAGTGAAAAAACAAAATAAACAACTTTAAGTTACGTTAAGCAGTTCACAAACGTTAACAGAAAAAGGTGTGCCAATGCAAAAGCTAAGCGATAATCCAAAGTTCAAAAGTCAGTATGCTAAAAATGAATAGGAAATGGTGAGGGAGGAATACGGTTATACAAGAAGAAGAGAATTCTGTATATTGAAAAAAGACTAACCGAACAACTGTATATTTGTAACGATGCTTCAACGGTGGATAAAAACGTGTAACGCAACCAAATAAGAATATGAACAATGCTACTTGCTAAGAATAAGTAACATAGGACTGAAAGCATCCGAAGAACACCAGAGCAGGAAAATAGCTGCAAAATACAAAGTATTTGGAGTGTTAAAAAAGGATTCTGTTACATGCTGGTTACTTTTATCTTCCATGTGTAAATGGTTTTGTTTTTTATGGACAAATACTATACAGGTGGAATGTTCAGTGGTGTGATTTACGTTTACGATGTACGTAAAAATGATCCAGTCCCAGTTATTGATACGACGTAAGTATTATTTCGTTTTCTGTTGTACTATTATGTGTAGTGAATTTCAGAACTAAATTTAAAAGCCATACTGAAATCCCAACCAGGATTAATGTTAACTATAAATTGTGTTATCTCATTGAGTTATTTAAATGTTAACAATGATGTCCTTTAAAGTTTAAGTTCTTTTCACTAGAAGAACTACTACTCATCGAAATCAACAGCTGAAAGCAACTTCTACTGATCACCACCTTTTAATAGTCACTTAAGGTTATCACATAAAATGTGAAACCACTATAATACTCAATCTTACGATTTTGTGAATCTTATAAATCAAAATGGCCATCATGTAACTTATCAGATTAGCTTCAGTGTTTTACAAACTCCATTTATAATACTGTCACATAGGAATAATTATGGTGAGAAAATTCTGGGGCTGTGTTTCAATTATCTAGATTTTCAAAAGACAAATACATCTACAACCTAAGGATGAATAACACTTTCACCAAGCTGCAAAAATAACAGCTGATGAAGGCGAATCTGTGACTAAAAGCAGTTTATGAGGTTAAAGTACATCATCCATAATGCTTGCACATAAAAGTAAGCTAGAAAAGAATAACTAGTTAATTTGAGTTGTTTCACTTAAATGCTAGAATATCGAATAAGACTATCCTAACTAATTAGCATCACAGCTTAGGAGCCTGAGCTTGAAAACTTCGTTCTCCGTTGTTACTAGCTTGATAACTTGTGTTCCAACCATTTTACATTATTTAATTACTTTAGGACAATATCAGTTTTTCTCTACAGAAATTCACTTTCTGAAGATTGGTGCGAAGTAACTATAATTTATCACATTGCTAATTAGTAAGTAGCATAAAAGTAATGCAAAAAATTAAAAACCTTAAAATCCAATGGAAAATATTTGTCTTTAAATTCTTTACAAAAACCGTTCGGTTTGTTTCAACTAATCCCCGTGTGAATGGATGAGGAACAAAAGAGCAGGAAATTGTATTCCCTATCGACAATTAGATTTTTTTCCTTTGAGTTTCTAGTGAAACATAAGGCTTCAGTAGCACGCCTCCATTTCACTCTGTTCTCTACAGTCTTTTCAACTTAGCGCCACGACTGCCCACAAGATTTCATTTCTTCCTCACATAGGAGACAGCTGTTGATAAATGTTTGTAGTTTGTTGGAAGCCCTTTTCGTGACACGCCGAGTTTCTGAACTATATAGCAGCACTGACTTTGGTGTTGAAAATCCGAATCTTATTCTTTGTGCTGAGTGGAGTGCAGTAGATCTCCACACTGATTTCAGACTAGTGAAAGCCTGTCTTGCTTTTCCGATCTTGGTCTTGACATCCTCGTCTGTACCGCCACCGCCTGTGGTTGAGACGATGCTGCCCTGCCTTGATAAGTGAAAGAGACTACTTCCTTTAGATTGCTCCCGTTATTGGTGGCTGATGCTTGTTGTTGATGCTGTTGTTGGTTGGGTATCATCATCACCTTCGTCTTCTCTACATTTACTTGAAGTCCCATTTTCGCTGCCCTGCCTCTTTTGTCAGCTTGTTAGTTTTCGCCTGTAAATCTTCGAGTTTGTGTGACAAGGCATTAGACATGAATCATCATCTGCGAAATGCAAGTCTTCTTCTGGGCTCTTTTCATCGGTCCCGCCAGCGTATACCCATCTTCTCACTCCTCACGGTTTGTTGCATGATACAGTGCAGTTCGGTCGACCATAAACAAGAAAATCATCGGTGATAGTAGGCGGCAACATTGTCTTACTTCTTTCTTCACTTCAAAGGCGTCACTGAGGTTTCCATTATGAATCACTTGGCATGTGCCGTCGTCATATAGTTGTTGGATGAGGTTGATGAAGGTTTGTGGCACTAAAACCGTAGTGTTGAAGCAGTTTCCAAACTACTTTTGAACGACACTGTCGAAGGCCTTTTCAAAGTCAATAAAGTTGAGTTAGAGAGTTGACTGCCATTCTATGCTCTGTTCTGTGATAATGCGACAATAAATAACGTAGAATAAATAACTTTGACTGAAATCTAGCGATTCAGTAGGGTGGAAAGTTATACGAGTATCTAGTTGATTGATCGGAAACAAATAACAGTTATCAAGCGTCTAACTAACAAAAAGGAATTCAAATTCCATAGAAATTCGACGGTCTCGAATATCACCCAATATACAGTTCCCCTACTCATGTGATTTGTATTGAAATAAGTAATGTGTGAGTATTAAGTTTTCATATACTTTGATATAGTTATTTTGCGAGAACTGATAAATAGCCACATAGATCACCAACCGGTTACCGATTCAGGTACACATTCCAGCTCTACAGTGAGCCAGTCACCACCTGAATTACTTAGTAATCCCATCTAAGGTTTTAGCATTGAATATCTTTGGTTCGAAAACACTCATTAATACGTTAAAAGAAAACAAGGGGTTCTGGGAAAATATCATTCTTTCCGATTTCATTATCCACATCCACAATTCTACATAATTTGTTCCACTACATTGGATAGCAGTAAAAATTGTTTAGTTGAAACTAGTAACAAAAGCCAGGTTGATTGGAGATTATACTTTTCTAGATGATATCAAAAACATCACAATTGTGATTTTTGGTGAACAATAATCACAAAACAGTATAGAGACCAACATAATTAACAGGAAAGAATACCATTATGTTGCCTAATATGTTAAAAATAATTTCCAAGATAAGGCATGATCAAGGATAGTATGGAAACAAAATAAAATTGGTGTTGGTCTGTTGAAAGGTAGCGAAAATTTAGCAAAACACTGGAAATTATGAGAAACAGGGTGGAGCTTGATAGTTATTGGCTAAGTTTAGAGTAGTAAAAAGGTTGAACAAGTTTCTTATGAGCACATTATTCCCGGTTGTATTATCATATGGCAAGAGCTTCTGAAGTGCGGAAAAGGTGCAAACGTGCCACTTTCCGCGAATTTCGTCCATCTTGTGAATGATCCTTGAATGGTGAATCAGTTGCGATCCTGCGACTAATATTGACAACCTGTTCAGTTATTGCACTTCTGATGAATCGACTTGCACCTCTATGCAGCCAGCTTGGGTAATGTTCGCAAACCTATTTAGAAACATTATTCATCTAATGACCTACATATCTGGCTCCACAGGAACTGTTGAAGTGACAAGTATTTAGATGCAAAAGCTCATCCTCTGGGTGGCCAATGATCATCAAACGGCTAGAAAATACAACCCTTAAGCTTGACGCGAAGAAAATTTTCTCTAACGAATTAGTTCTTCTCCTCGAGAAATCGACTATAAAGTGACTTTCGAAGTTCAAATCCATGTAAAGTATATTACTTGGAGTTGAAATGGTCATCTCCATTTGTGGTTTATATTGTGCTTTTTTCCATTTTAGTTGGAAAGTTTTTGAGAAGCATCAGTGCTTCTTAATCATGCTGGTTAACATTTTCAAATGATGGGTTGGCTCAATCCTACTGCACGAACATGCAATTGGTTTCTGAGTGCATTTGATTTTTTTTCCACGCTGTTTTGTGGTTAATCTTCACCTAAAATTATACTAGTGATGTTTTGATAACACCTAAAAATGTATAATCCTCATTCAACTTGATCTTTATTACTAAGTTTAACTAAATAATGCAGCGGTACAAAATGTGCAGAACTGTGACTGTTCGGTTGTAGGGAATGAACTCTATTTTAGTCTTTTTATTAGATATATCACGCAGTGAAATAGTATTGTGCGCTGTATGTGAATATGAACAATGAATTATGTCTGAAACGCTATCCAGTAAATAATACTGTTTCATTGTGTGACACATATAAGAAACAGGCAAAAATGAAATTACAATCTACCGCAGTGTCCAAGTTTTACTCCTTTGTAGAGAATAATGAAATAGGTGAAAAAGGTGTCTTTACTCACCTTCTTATCTTCTCAAAATGAAAATTTTA